CCTGAATGACGGCGATCCCGACAATAATAAGTTGATCTGGTTAACGACGGACGGGAAAGCCAGCAACGGTTACGATCCCATTGCCATAGCAACAAACTTGAAGAACATAGGTTGGCTTTACATATTGATTCATTAATATTTTTAACACGGTAGTAAAGAAGATAATTACTTTTAAATTAAGTCTATAATTGTTGCATTTATAAAATTTTCGCAAGATTGTGTGTGTGGATTTTGTATTCAGCAGTGTAAAATGTGTTCTTTTAATCTAAGAGTGCATTCGCAGAGATTTAGATCGATCCAGAGATTTAGATTTAGATCGACCTAACTCCCTGGGGGTTCACGCTAAATTGCAGTCAGCCGAGCGCGCACCATAGTTAATTACCACCTTACAGTAGACGGGACAGACGCTTAAGCCGGCCAAGCTGACAGTAATCTAGTGAGACTCACCACAGGGATAGATCGATCTAAAATCTATGGGAATGGGGTCTAAAGAACGATTTATCTATAAGCCATTACTAAAATGCATTGAATACAATCGCGTATTAGTCAGGACAGATAATTGTTCATAAAAACTAGCATCTTTTGATCTGTTTGGACCAAGTATCCGTCACATGTTTCAAGCTCACGTTTTCATTCTAGGAGTCAAAATATGCGTGGTAGCAATTGGCACAAGCGTCGACATGGTAGAGATTAACGGCATGGCGTCTCCGGGCTGCGTCTTCTCTGGACCCACCTTTGCTTCCTACAACCAAATTGCTGCCAAAGCACTGTCTTATGCCAAGAAGGTGAAGTAGCTCTGATACGCCGAGATGCCACCTGCCATTTGACCACCATACAGTGATACCGGAATGTTTATATGTATACTGATGGCACGTCTGTCATGGCTATTTCATAAACATTAAGAATTTTAAGATGTCGTCTACCACAGCTCGGCTACTAATTTACAAGTAAAATCTATGGGTAAAATCTATGGGAATGCGCCCACAGTGGGGACTAGACTCATGAAACATGCAATGAATATCAACAAAGGATAATATCACCAAGATTAATAATAGAAATCACTTCACCTTTTTTTAGTTAAGAGTATTATGCCCTAGAAAATAGAGATTTTGACCTACTTTTTATCTCGAAAATGACTCCTCTCCGTCTATCCAGGTGGAGTGCACGTTGTCCAGTGGAATCTATTAGTATAATAAGAAGTGCTTCTCCAAATATACATAAAAATTAATTATAAGAAAACCCAACGTGTTTACTGAAGTCATTTGTGTGTAGTGGATGATGGCACTTTCTGGATTGAATATAAGGTCGCATTGGCCCCATTCAGAATAGGGGACTAACTAGTCCGGGGGTCAAATATGGCCGACCCACTTGAATACTTCCCCATGGGATATAAATATATTTTCAATGTCTCTTAGTGGATTAGACGGCAAACTTTATAGTGGGTCGCCATATTTGGCCCTCAGACTAATGGCCCCATTTAGAACAGTGGACTAACTAGTCCGGTGGTCAAATATGGCCGACCCACTTGAATACTCCCCCACGGGGAATCTATTCTGTGTTTATTAGCGGATTAGATGACAAGCTTTTTGGTGGGTCACTATATTTGACCCACTGTTTATTCCACTGTTCTGAATGCGGCATAATTCGTCCCTAATCCAAAGCTGTGAGCTGGACATATCGTTAAACTCATTACTATGAGCCATTGAAGAATGAGCCACCTATCATCCCTGGCTTGATCCTGGACGTGAAACACATTTAGTTAGAACTATTTTCTTTGTCTTCAAAACGTATAAAGTGCCGCCAAAGAATGTTGTCAATTATATCAATATAAACAAAAAAAAAACTACAATTAATAAAAATCAGGCGCATTTAACAGCACCATGGAAATGAACCGCCCCTCATTTCGAATTCTGACTAGGTGAAGTACTTTTTATTGGAAAATTACAAAGGTCATGATAAATAGTTTTCGTTTTCTAATTTTTTATTCTAGTCGTCTTTACAGAACTTTTGTGACCCAGACTGATTAATATAATAATAAACAATCTCCCAAAACACAAATCCGATCAAAGTTTTACATAGAACCTGTTTCTATACATTAATTTAACCCACTGAGTTGTCCTTTAACGTTTCAAAAATAGCCTAATTTAATTCAAATTCAGTGCTGTGTTAGGTGAAATTTGGCAATCGGTGAATGCTACATTTAGACCTTGCTTTTGTTCCCTCTTTTCATGGGTCAAATTCGTTACCGTAGCAACGTGATTGACATTTTAATTACATATCATCCGAAATGTCTTGGTATGGACCTTTAGGAAAAAATAATTAAGCATGAAATGTAAAATCCTTCATGGAATTTATGCAAAACTTCCTCTACTTTCGTTACGGTAGTTTGAGTAGTGAGGACCCCCAAAGTTCAGATGATAGTATCTATTTTTCGGATAATACATGTATAATATGAAATACTAGTATATATTCTTTTACGAAGTCAAAATCAGTCAGTTTACATATAAGTCGTGTTTAAATATAAAAACAGAAAACATTCATATAATTCTTTTTAATTAATTGTAATAGTAAGCTCCATTTTGAAGACCACAAAGATCACGTGTACATCAGGTGAGGGATTCAAGAAGCGTTGCTGATGTTCTTTTAAAAACTTTTAGTCTACAGTTAACTATTTCCAAGAAGACATTTATAAGCGACAGTTTCGCAGTTCCTCCATTTTGAAGACCACAAAGATCATGTAGACATCAGGTTAGATATTCAAGAAGCGTTGCCGATGTTCTTTTAAAAAACTATAAACCTACAGTTAACTATTTTAACGCTCCGGGAAGATCAGGTTTATAAGCCACTGGTATGTTCTGACAAAACGCTGGGGTATGCATAAATTACGCCTAGCAGTGACACAAGCATTTAAGGGGATAATAAGTCTTCGTATGAGATCTATATTTCACAACAAAAACATTGTGAACAACTCATAGAAATATAATATATTCTGTTTTACCACAATAACGGCAGTTATAGCTATTATTTTGATATCTGAGCTTGTCTTCAGATCATGTGACCTCCATTGATGGCTATACTCTGTGATAATTTCTTAAGAGATTTTTACCAAAAAAAAAAAACTTTTTAGAAAAATAACAGGGCCTAACTTTGAATGTAAAAATGAATTCACTAACGTTTGGTAAGTATGGGAAAACTGTTGTTTACTCCAGAATAAATTCATTTTTTGGCCAGGTCGTTTAACTACATCATGTTGTTTATCACGAAATAAGTTAAAACTTAAAATTCTGTAATACCCTTATGCACTGTTTTGAGCGGGCTTTTAGATAATAAAATAAACCACTAATATATTTTCTATTACGAATTCATAATCAGTTAGTTTACATTAAAGTAATGATTAAATACATAAACATAAAACATTCATATACAAAAATTTAATTTATTGTAATAGCATGCTTTAGTCAGACAAGATTAAGTTATAATTTCTCACGCGCAGTTCCTCCATTTTGAAGACCACAAGGATCAACGTAGACATCAGGTCAGGTGTTCAAGAAGCGTTGCTGATGTTCTTTTAAAAACTTTCAGTCTACAGTTAACTATTTCCAAGAAAACATTTATAAGCGACAGTTTCGCAGTTCCTCCATTTTGAGGACTCCAGAGATCACGTAGACAACAGGTTAGATATTCAAGAAGCGTTGATGATTTTCTTTTGAAAACTTTCAGTCTACAGTTAACTATTTCCAAGAAGACATTTATAAGCGACTGGTAAATTTTGACAACAGCACGTTGGGGCATGCCACACATAGCAGTGACACTAGTATATATAAGTAGCTTGTTGAACAGACCAGTTACACGCCTTATCCTGAAAGATGAAGACGCTGTTTTTCGCTGTTGTGATTTTTGCCGCTTTCTTTGTAAGCTCCACAGGTGAGAATAATCCTATCTTCATGCCATGTTAAATTCTAGGATTTGGTGTCGCGAGTCCAACAGTTGAGAGAATTAACAGCAGGCACAGAGAAAAGCTAAAGACGCACAAATCACGCTTAAATCAGGCTTACATTTAGCAAACGCTTACTGATTCTTTGGAATTTCTCAAAATCTTTTCCTTAATTACCAAGATACATCGTATCCAGAACGACTCAATTGGTTCATTTGACAATGAGAAGATTTTTCACCTGCTGTGACAACGTTCTGTCTCTGCAATCTGGGTGCAATTTGCTATATCTCATTTTAATCTATTGTATTTAATAAATTCCTTGTTTTTTACTTTTTGTTGAAGCGGTCAGCTCAGTGGACAGCATTGCCAAGACAATGTTAAATACAATCACCAACCTCGTTGCACCGCCAACATGTTACAAAAAATACTGGGATATCGTCTTCATTTTAGACAGCAGCGGCAGCATCGGCTCATCTAACTTTGCTTTGGCAAAATCTGCCGTTAAGGTGTTGTATATATTGTCGTTCTATATCATAAAAGCGACATCGAAACAACATTTAATAACACTTAAATTTCAAACTTTAATTTAAGCTTTAATTTTAAAGTCTAATAAAACAATTGAAGGGTTGCTATTTTCAAAAGTAATCGCTACATCAATTAAAAAAGAAATGCAACCATATTTATCGATTAATACATAATCGATTATTTTACTTAGGCGGGGGGGTATTGCCAAGCAGATAATTGAATATGTTTTGATAGAGCGAAATCTTACTACGAACGATGAAGAATGTCAGAAGTCTAGTATTGCTAGCATTTCATACTTTGCGCATTTTTTCAGAGTGTTGCGGCACTTATCAGCGTTCTCTCTCCCATTGGCTCTGGTAAGACCAGGGTAGCTGCCATACGGTACGCGTCAGATGTTGATGTTCAGTTTAACTTTGGTTCTCTTGACTCACTATCATTGGTCAGGTGGGGACTGGGTGAAATAGCTTACGTAGGTAAGCAATGTGCGTTGAACTCGATTTTTTAAAAAATGAGTTATCAAAATCTTCGTTCACAGGACTAAGCTCGAAAAATAATGATGTAGAAAGATTTTATGGTGCATAATATTTATCTCCAAAGCACCAAGTATCTACCGGGTTAGTACTTTTTGGACAGAACTAATTCAGGCCGAATTTTCAAAGGATGAACATGCTTCGCTGACTTGAGCAACTAAGCAGTTGTTATTATAATGGGTGCTGTTATGTGATGCTCTGTATCATAAACGGGTTCATCTAAAATTGAAGGAAATGACACTGCTAATGGCAACATTTTAAAACAAATTTTGGTAATGTGTAAATGTTGTTTTATAAGAGCAAGAATTGTTTACCTGATTTTAAATGTTATTGATAATGCAATGTTAATTATATTTGTGTCGCATGAGATTGTTCAGCAGGTGTTTGTGATTATTCATTCTGATTCCCGTTGAAACTGGACTGGTTTTACTTACTGAATAAAAACCGAACAGGCTAATAAAGTAACATGGATAGCGAAAAAAGGTCACAAGAAACTTGATTTGTTTGCATACATTTGCCATAAATGAACTCATGGATAACAAGGGCGTTCTATAATGGTAAAAGCGTTGATTTAAAGTTGATTTTAACCCATTTTCTTTAAAGATGGAATAACTAAAACCAGTCTTGCCCTAAAGAAAGCCGCAAATATGTACATGGTTCGTGGTGATCCAGGCAATGCTAAGTTTATCTGGTTGGTAACGGATGGGAAAGCCAGCACCGGTTATGACCCAATATTTTGGGCAAATGTCTTGAAAAGAATTGGTAATTAACTCTACATTCTTCATAAATCCAGATATTTATTCACTTATGTTTTAAACACAGTATAAAAGTAGATAACTAGTTTTAAATGAAATGTAGTTTACTTAGCATTTATGAAACTTAGTATTTGGTAGTGCAAAATGTGTTCCACTGAACGATTTACCTGTGAACCATCACTAAAATGTGTTTTATGCAATAATTAATTAGTCAACAGAGCTTGTACAGAAGATTCTTCATACAGATTAACACGTTTTGATCAGTTTGGATCAAATATGCGTCACATAGCATGTTTCATGCACACATTTTCATTCTAGGGGTAAAAATATGCGTGGTGGCAATTGGTACCAGCGTTGACATGACAGAGATCAGAGGCATAGCGTCCCCGGACTGCGTCTTCTCTGGACTCACCTTTGCCTCCTACAGTCAAATTGCTGCCAAGGCACTGGCCTTAGCCCTGGCGTAGTCCTACTCATAACCAACGATGTAACATGCCACTTAACAATTGTCCACCGTGCTGTTATACGGAGTCGTTTATGAAGAGATGAAAAATTTACCTTGGAATGTTTATATTTCCCAAACATTCAAACTCCAAAGATGCTGTCTACCATAGATTATCAACATTCGAATATCTTTCAGTTATAAACCTAGTCATTACGTTTTGGATGGCCAAGGGTTTAGATATTCACTCTTCTTTTCTCATCTGTAATGACATTACCAAAGCGGACTCTACATTCACAAGGAATGCATCGTGCACTATTGCAACGAAGGGGACAGAAATACACATTTGTCAATTATTCTACCAACATCTTCCTCTCTAACTTACTTTAAAATGTTTAGTTTCTATTATTTGATACGTGCATTTTACATTGATGGGGATGTTGTGTGGAAATAAAGGTTTACAAATCTACATAATGTTTTTTAAGTATCCATTTCTGTATTTCGATATTGCCCGTGGAAGGGTTAATGTCTCCATTAAGATGTGCTGACACATTAAAGAGGTATGGATTCTGAATCGTTCCATTTCTTAAGTTAGCGTTCGTTGATGCAATTGCAAGATTTCTACCTCTAAGTGAATTTAAACATTAAATACATAACATTTTGGATGTGTGCCGAGCGGTGCCATTTTGTTAATTAATGACAATGGCGTTAAGGAAGTAGAATGAGTCCACGATCTCTACTGTGATACCTACGCGTGCAGCAGACCCCATAACATACGGAAGCCACTCAGAATACTTACACATTAACTCACTGGTCACGTATTGGGTCTGAAAATATTTCATAGGAAATGACCAGGTAAAGCCAATCCCGGGAAGTAAACATCCTGGATCAATATTTCACCAATATTGCCCTAACATTAGACACCTTGAAAGTGCTTGTTAACAGCTCTTGCGCCCAACGTACTCGCACATCAACAGCTTTTCTGATTCCTACTCAACGCCTATTGAAGGTGTGTTAGACCCCATTTCCAGAGATTAGATCGATCTACTTTAGATCGACCTAACTCTCTGGGGGTTCACACTAAAATAGCTGTCAGCCGAGCGGGCACAATAGTTAATTACCCCCTTACAGCTTGTAGTAGGCGGGACGGACATTTAAGCCGGATTATCTGACAGTAATCTAGTGAGACTCCCCGCGGGGATAGATCGATCTAAAAGCTCTGGGAATACGCCCTTAATCAGCTCATCTGATTGCATTCAACGAGAATGTCCGCGGTGCTGGATTGACCTGCTTGTATGTAGAACGGTAGTTTCATTTGGGAATGAGCCCATAAAATGTCGCATGGCGGGCAATGGTATGACTCTTTTCTAGAATTTTTCCTGGAATTTACAAACATCTTAAAGAGGCTTTGTCTCATGTTATAGTCTTCATTGTTAGACCAAAATTCCCTTTGCCTGTTTTATCTTTAAACGAGATTTTAGGATATCTAATAGTACATGTATGTATGAAACTAAGGTCTGAGAAGCTTTCGAACTTTACATTTCTCCGGCGTACATGTGCTACCGGTATATATTCATGCATGGATATTGTCCCAACAGCTCTGAAAGTCTGAGAGATTTTCATTAGAAAATTTATTCTTATTTCACTTGAGTGACATGTAATTTTTTAGCATATTTCAATTTTTATAGAATCATATATTTATGTTTAATCGAGATAAAAAGAGAATAACGTAAAAAAAACTATAAAGAAGATTACTTACTTTGTTTAACTGAATGTACTGCATCTATTAAACAATTAAAGTTTTAACTTTATTAAAATGTATTACGCACACACAAAAAGAAGAAAAACACGGAGAAGATTGGAATCCAATTGAATACACATATAATGAAAAATTCAGTGACTTGGAAACGCATTAAATATAACAGCAATCATTAGGAAATAAACCAGTAAGCTGACAATTAAAGATTCTATATTTGCTGTAACATTTTTTTGTTCACGTTTGGTGTCGTTATGAAAAGTCCTATCTTTAATGGCGCTTTACGTATGCATTAAGATATCTTCACATGGAAAGTGGTGGTTATTGACAGAAGTAAAGAATGTTACTATAAAAAGTTATCCACATAACTCTATGTGGTAGCTGAAGAATGTATCAACACACATGACATTGTGAGGCCTTTTCATCACTTAGTCGACAGAGAAAAATAAAGAACTCGAGATTAAGCGTGAAATGGGCAATTTAATCCACTAATTTGTTTTTAATGGCTTGTTTAATTGATTGCATCAGGTCGCTTAACTACATCAAACTTAAACTTAAAATTCTGTCATGCCCTTATGCAGTGTTTTGAACTGTCTTTCAGATAATACAGTATAAAGCACTCATATATTTATTTTCTTTTACGAATTCAAAATAAATCAGTTATATTTAAATACATAAACAGAAAACATTGGTAAACAAATTATTGGATAATCGCACATGTAATCGCATGCTTTAATAGTCAGACAACATTAACTTTTAAATCCTCATGAGCACTTCCTCCATTTTGTGAACCACAGTGATCACGTAATTATGAGGTTAGAGATTCAAGACGCGATGCTTTATGTTCTTTAAAAACTATAAATCTACAATAAACTTATTTAAAATTCCAGGAAGACGTTTATTTCGTCGAAGCGACCAGCTTATTTTAACAACAACACGTTGGGACATGCACAATTTACATCTAGCAGTGACGCAAGTGTAAATAAGTAGCTAGTTGAACAGACTTTAACCAGTAACAAGCCTTATCCAGACGATGAAGACGCTGTTTTTTGCTGTTGTGATTTTTGCCGCTTTCTCTGTAAGCTCTACAGGTGAGAATGATCCTATCTTCAAACCCTGTTAAATTCTAAGATTTGGTGACACGAGTCCAACAGTTGTGAGAAACAACAGCTGGCACAGAGAAAAGTTAAAAACGCACACATCACGCTAGGCATAAATGTAGCAAATACTTAATGATTTTTTTTTAATTTCTGAATTTTTTCCCCTTAATTACCAATGTACATCGTACCAAGAACTACTCATGTGTCCCCGCAATCTGGATGCATTGTGCTGTTGTTCATTTTTAACCTATGGTATTTATGAGCACTGTCCAAGACTCAAATATTCTGTTTTACTGTTTTATTTTATTTTATTTTATTTTATTTTATTTTATTTTATTTTATTTTTTATATATTAATTTTTTGCAGCGGTTGGAATTGGTTATGCTGGTCAAAGCTTTTTCCAAAGCACTCGCGAAGAGGACACCGTCGCCAGGCGAATGTCAGATGAACTCAGCCACCTCATGGCGCCCCCGATATTTCACAAAAAATACTGGGATGTCATCTTCATTTTAGACAGCAGCGGCAGCATTGGGGCATCTGACTTTGGTTCGGCCAAATCTGCTTTACAGGTGTTTATATATTTATCATGTACATTTTCATTTAAATGACATTAAAACAACATTTACCAATAACACTTGCTTTGATTTTAAAGTGTCATGAGACATTTGATGGTTAGTCGCTATTTTCAAAAACTTGCGAAACTATTGTATTATCGCTATATCAATTTAAAAAAAGAAATGCATTTATCGATTACTATATTTTTCTTTTTTTTTAATTGCAATTTCATTTTACTGCAAAGCAGACAATTAAATTTACTGCATTAGTCAAAAATGTTTAAAGGTTAATATCTTCTTTTATGTAAATTATAGTTAAAATTATAACAAGCATTTCATACTTTCATATTTTACGTCAGAGCATGGCAGGGGTTATCAACATCTTCTCGTCTATCGGCCCCGGCAAGACGAGAGTAGCTGGCATACGATACGCCTCGTGGGTTGATGTTCAGTTCAACTTTGATGTCCATGATTCATTAGGAGAGGTGAATAGTGCGCTGGGTGCTATTCCTTATGTAGGTAAGCAACGTATATGTGCTCCACCTTTGACTTACTAAAGATACATTTAAAGTAAAATTTATGCGATAAAAGCCAATCAAATATCAATTATGTGTTTTTCAGACCGTATTTTCTAAAATGACGGAACATGCTTCACTGACTTGAGCAAATGGCAACTAAAAGAAAGAGTAAAATACTACACAACAAAATTAGCCTCATGCACGGCCTCTCGAATCTTTACCTTATAGTGTGTGCTTGTGTGAAAATTGCTTTCTTATTTGATAAACGGCACATCCTTCCACCTCAGCTCCCTCCCACGGTGAAGAGAAAATGTTTTTCGTTTCTCACACAGTTCAAGATGCACATGTTTTTTAAACACTTTTATCTACTTCTATAATAATGATTTTTCATATCCTCGAATAGAAAAACCGAAGGCCTTTATCAAGTCCATACAGGTAATCGACTACAAGTTTGGTAGGACAGTTTTCTGACTCGTTTATCACAATTACAGAGAGAGAGTATCGAGAGGCGAAACTGTTAGAATGACTATTTTACCCTGTTTTACCCATTTTCCTTTCAGGTGGATTCACTAAAACCCGTCTGGCACTAGAAAAAGCCTTAGATATGTACCTGAATGACGGCGATCCCGACAATGCCAAGTTGATCTGGCTGACAACTGACGGAAAGTCCAGCTTTGGTTACGATCCCATTGCTATAGCAACAAACCTGAAGAACATTGGTAATTGGCTTCATCATGAGTCCAGATTATTAGTTTAAAATGAAGTCTGCGTAATTTTTGCATTTGTGAAACTTACCAAGATATTGAGTGTAGAGTATGTTTGCAGCAGTGAAAAGCGTGTTGATAAATCCATGGAACGACGAACCAAAAACTAAACTGTATTTAATGCAATAACAAATACGTCAACAACAGAGCTTGGAAAGAGAAATAGTTCACAAAAGTAGCATGTTATTGATATGTTTGGAGCATTATTAACCACTTTTCAAGCAAATGTTTGCATTTCAGGAGTGCAAATATTCGTGGTTCCGGTTGGTACCAGTGTGGACATGACGGAGATCAACGGCATGGGCTCGTCCTTTTCCCGCGTCTTCTCCGTACCCTCCTATTCATCTTACAGACAAGTAGCCTCCATGGCACTGTCTTATGCCTCACAGTCGAAGGATCTACGCATGCCCGGTGGCGAAATTAGAGGGGGGGCCGGACCAGCCGAACACCCCCTTTCAGTCTCTAGAAATAACTCACCCCAACAAACTCTATCTTAAAATTCTACCACAAATAACTAACATTGGAGTACACTCTGCCATTAAATATAGGAAAGCAATGGCTTTTCCAATGACAGCCCTTTTCGATAATCTCATTACCACCTCCGGCTCCATGATCACAAGGGACGCATGTTGTATTGCAGGTATTGAGCATAAGGAAAGTGGATAATTCTTCAGCCTGTTTACCAACATCCTTCTCTAAATCACTTTTAAATTCGCAGTTTCTGTAACTTCATACGTACATAACACATAAATGGGGATGTTGATCAGAAATAAATGTTTGCTACACTTCATAAAGTTTTTAAAGTAGCCATTTCTTTAGGTTAATGATTGGGTTAACTGGTGTATGGGACTGTTTACCTTTCTATTTAGAGGTGTTAAAACACATAGAATGAAATAATTCTGAATTTTTTTATTTCCTAAGTATTTGGTAGCTGATACAATTACAATGTTGCTAAACCTAAGTGAATTAAGAAATCAATTATAAAATGCTCGAATGTTTGGTAAGTGACAACAGCGCAATTTTGTCAATCAATTACAATGACGTTAAGGAAGTAGAATGAGTTCACACTCTCTACTTCGATTATAACACATGCGGCAGACATTAAAACATACGGTAGCCGCTCAAAATCCTCTATTGTTAACTCACTGGTCACGTATTGGATCTGAAAATATATCATAGGAAATGACCAGGTAAAGCCAATTCCGTGATGTAAACTTCCTTGATCAATATTTCACTAATATTGCCCTAAGATTATGTACTTTACAAGTACTTGTTAACACGTCTTGTCTCCAACGTAAAACGGCTTGCACGAGCTTGGGTATTGTCCCAATGGCTCTGAAATTCTGAGAGTTTTTCATAAAAACTTTTATTTTTTTATTTCACTTGATTGACATTTAATTATTCAACATTTATCATTTTTTGTAAAATTACATGTTTATGTTTAATCAAGATTTAACAAAGAGAGAATAACACAAATAAAAAACAAAAAGAGGCGATTACTTTCTCTGATTACATGAATATACTGTATCTGTTAAAAAGCTGAATTCAATAAATTACATTTAAAAAAAAACATGGAGATAGGAATCCAGTTGAATAGACGCTCAGTAATTCAATGACTTGGAAACGCTTTAAATATTACAAAAATCAGGTGGTAATTAACCAGCAGACTGGGAGTTAAGGATTGTTTCTTTCCTTCAGCATTTTGTTGTTCATGTTTGGTGTCGTTATGGTATCACCTTATAAATTTACCAATCCTACCGGCATCATTTAAATTTTTTCCGTAGGATGAAAACGTAGCAACCGGCCTTGGTCAGTGTAACAACGTGGATATATTAAAGTAGACACCAGCTGTTCCTTCAATGATCCTCAGAATTTGAAATAAACAGAAATATTATTTTGAGTATATGGTCAGTATGTGCGCACGTATTTATTTGACTTCGGAATGCGCGCGCAGTTGACCTTATGGCAGAGTCGCCGTAGGTTCCGCCTCAGTGGTTTGAGGTGTCTGTGAACGGAGATCAGGTCCAGTGCCACTATGGCGAACACCGTCCCCAGAAGCAAGGCGAGACCAAACGTCCCTATGACCGGCGCTCCTGGAGCCTCTTTGGGATTTTCTGGGTGCCGTCTTCTCGCGACCTTCAGTGTTTGTACCTCCTCGGCGTTTTCTGTTATGATGAAAAAATAGCAAATAAACGACATCACTGTGAGAAAAATAGAGACTGTTCCTTCTTCCTTTGGTGGCATATACATTAGAATCTTTACAAGTACGCGCTAAAGATTGATTTTTATGAACCACTTCAATAAAAATGAACACGGAACAAATAAGGTCCGTGTGCAAAGATGTAAAATGGATTGAGTTAATTATAAAATATATGCGTTAGAAGATCCAAATACTCTTAATGGCAACCAATGAAAGAAAAGAAAACAACTGACATGGCACCATAAATGCTGTCAATATTTGTAAAGACGCTGTTTCAAAACAGAAGATAATGCTTATCTATATTTCCATAACCGACCTACCTGTGCAGGGGGGTATAATTTTGCTCCATTTGCCGGTGCTCCTGCACGTGATGCTCCTGCTGGTAGTGCCATCTATAAACGTGGTGTTCCCAGTACAAGTGAACATCACTAGGGTACCTTGGCTGTACTGGACGTAACTGGCGTTATGGACCGTGTTGGGTACGTCCTCCACCAGGGCACAGCGGGCGGGCGCTGAAACAATACACAGGCAACGGAGTGTAAACATAAAAATATAAATTGCCCAGTATAATTGCTAAACATGTATAATGGCAATACTTTTACACCATTTATTGCTTCTTTTTTAAAAAAGGCTGTTATGAATTTACAAACCAACCAACAAATTCACGAACAAACGAGCAAAACAAACATGAATACCATACAAAGGCGTATATTATAAAATAAAGTCGTTTGGCTTAAATTTAATATGTTCTTATACGTATCCTTTGTCTTACCTGGGGTTGAGGTAAGCGCAGTCTCCGTCAATGTCGTATTAGCTCCTGTCAACAGTGTCGTTACCGTAATTACCGTGGACTGGGCGTCTTCTAATGTCACACTTTCTAACCCGTACTGAGAAAAGCTATCAGTAGTGCTTGATGTTTGGGTAAAGTCACTTCCCTCTGTTCCGTTTATATAATATTGCACAGCCGTCGAATTAGGCATGTTCTCATAAGAAGAGTTTGTTGACAGCCATTTTGGATTTTCGGACATGTCTTCAGACGAGCTTGCGTACTGCAGAGAGGACATGCTTGATTGAATAGCCGTATATTGTGTTACAGAGGCCATTATCGCGTCCTGCGTTTCGGACATTTCAGACGCGACATGTGTTTCGGATGCATTTGCCCTTGACTCCCAGGGCAATTGGCTTGTCGTGGCATAGACTGACGAGTGCAATGTCTCCAACATATTCTCACTGTAGTTTCCGTCGTGCAATGTTTCTTGGGCGACAGTCGTGGATGAATGAAAAGTTGACGAAAATACACCAGACAACGTTGACGGTAATGATTGTTTTGGTGTCCTGAGCGAGGCAGACGTCAATGACGGTGTGGACATCAAACTTTTGGCGGGAAGTGGAGACGACGGCATCTGAGCGGAAGATGAGACGTCATCAGAAAAGCTGGGAGAAGAAATGTGAAGGGAGTCAACCGACGGGGATTTGGTGGAAAACGTTGATACAACAGACGATAACTTAATCGCAGACGATGTTCCAAGAGAAGAGACTCCTAATTGTGATAGAGCAGACGATGACATTTCCGTTGATATTTCAGAAACTGGCCATTGAGATGAGGAAAACTGAGCAGTAAGAGACGTAGTGTGACCAAAAGATATTGTGTCAACGCTTTCAGTAGTTGCAATTGGCGTGACAGTTGATGGCGTCTCTTCTTCCGTAATGGAAGAAAGGGAAGACGGTGCTTCTGTTGGCAATGTCGTAATTGGATCAACAGTTGGGTGAGACGCTAAGGTGGACGTTGGTTCCGGGGGTGGAGAGAGAAGGCCGCATGCGTATCCTGGAAATGAGAGATGCACACGTCACAGGTGTAAACAAGCAAGCTTCCTAATCAACAATACAGACGAGACAAAGGGGAGTGTTTAGGGCTTATACTGTAGCTTCTAATATGGAATTTATCAACAGATAAACCCACTGCATATAGACCCTACATTAGGCAATTAGATATACTTATTTATGGAATCTTGGGCTTCTCAAGGAGTCAGAAACATAAATGTGTACGGGAAACACAAGCATTATGTTGAACTCTAACACGTGTTTAAAACACACGGATGGAGATTTTACGTCTCATAGATGTGAATCAATGGCAGGACAAAGGTTCTATTAACATACCTGGGGGCGGATGCGCTGAACACAGCTTCCAGGCTTCACGGAGCTCATGAACAGTGAGTGCCACGTCAAAGACCACAAAACAAGCCATTTTCCCCCGAAAGCGCATACTCGTTTCTGTGCAGCACGTGCCATGAGCACGCCGCGCCACGTGAATGTCACGTGAGGTCTCCAGTGACCTTGGGACGATGTTTTGTGACGTAAGCAACGTTTCGTTTTTGTATAGTTTTACAACTTCTTGCGCTTTAGAGTAGGTGGCTGCCAAAAAGCTCCACTGATTGACGGGAAGATCCCATGGAGAACTGGAAACGAAGTCTCTGTGAATTGTCGTGCCCCGTGGAATTGTGTGAAATTCGTAATGGCCGCCCCATTTCCATATCATGAACCCATTTAAGGCACCTGTTGGGAACTCATACTCAAATATCGGAAAGTCGTTGTCATTCTCCGGGTATACCACAGACATTATGGTCAGGGCGTCCGTGACATCCAGAACGCCGTTGTTTGGTATGGTACCGTAGGCGCCACTGTTAAAGTGCAATGCCAGATCATTGCCGCCGTGGGGTCCGCTGGCGGTGGTCACTGTCCCTGTGTACACCATGTGGTTGCCGTTGCCTGACAGGTCCAGAGCTTCTGCAGGGTCTCCCAGCTGCCAATGACCGACTGGGCAAGGCAACTGAACTGTAAATAAATATTTGGGGCAATGATTTTTTATAGTCTCCTTCGTTTTTCAGAGTGCCACAAACGTTTTTTTTTATATATTATTATTATTATTATTATTATTATTATTATTATTATTGCAAAATCAAACAGCGGGATTGCATGCAACACCACAATATAGGATGCAAACCTCAAAAGGGATGTCAGTTTTCACACATCATTATTCTCTCGCAGTAAAATGTTCGTTCAAATCAACAAAAAGAAAAGGGATTCCGAACCACTGTAAAGGTAACCCGCTGACAGACGGTCGCCACCCCAGCAGTATCTCACCTCAACGGAGCTGCAGACCATCTACAAACACTACTTAACGCTGGGTTAGCGATCTTAGCTTTACTTTCACCCACGCTCAATGTCTTAATTTTTTTAGGATTGATCGTTGTTTATCGGATTGTTTTGTCTCCTTTTTATTTTTAATGTGTGTGTCCACGGATACCAAGCTATATTATAACAGTTCGATATGTTTTTTTAGAATGTAAATGTAAATATATCTCTTCGCGTTAAATATGATAAAAAATATAAAAAGGAGAACCCTACAAAATACACATATCCAAGCATGTGGATTACAAATATTTAAAAAACGTAAAATAAAGGTTTTTGTGCCTCCTATTTAAATTTTAATTACAGTACTTGTGTCGAAAATTCCATAAGCAGCTACAAACTTGTCACTTTATGTATAAGTTTTACCGATGATGCAAATGATTGTCCCTTTTTTCACGAGAAACTTACCCATCTCCGACTGCATGACAAGTAAATGGAGAACGAAAAACAGTAAATTACCATCCCAACCATTGGCTGCCATCGTTAAGAATGTTGTGATTCATCAGGCCAAAGTATTAATTGGCAAAATGCTGCTTACATTTAATTGATCTGAATAAAGTATTGTACGCCATCCAGTCCATGCTAAAGAGGTTTGTCAAGTACAGCGCACGTGTAGCAGCACATTATGAGTCTTCCGTTCGCTGCCATCTCCATTTACTTTATCGATGGGGACTTTTGTTTGTTCGCGGCATTATAAACAATACTTCAACGTGACGTTTTTTGTGACTGACATGTTGCTACCAGTTTGCAGTACAATGCAAAATCTCCAAGAATTGGTGGAACGTGGCTATAAAGGGAAATAGCTAATGGTCAACTCAAAGGATGATCAAAAGTCAAGTCAGCCTACAAATGACATGTAGGTGATACACCTAAGTGCTGAAGTACCGAAGAGTAATAAGAGGGGTGGGTTGGGTTAGGGGGGGTCCGGCCACTGACCCTGTACATTATTAGTAGGCCTAAATCTGGAAAAAAAATCAGACAAAGGCAAATTAGAAAATGAATATATAGTTTGCCTTATTCTTACTACGATCATGATTTTGAATGTAAATTGACATACGCGTTTTGTGGACATATTTGCAAGACCAAAGGTAGGAAGAGGGCGTAAAAAAACTTTAAGGGGGCAAAAATTGGGGTATTTTCGTGTTTAGAAATAACTTCGACGCGAGTGTTTTTAGTAGAAAAGTAAAAGGTTTTGCGATGTTTTTCTGTCGTAGCTACTAGCTCAAATTTTCATGATATGGCGTGATTGAAAACAGTGTGGATAAAGGCTGGGCCCAAACCTATAACCCCACCCCACCCCACCACACCCACCCCACCGCCACCCTGGATCCTTCGCCCATGAACTCCTCGCTCTGACGCGGTGTTCAAGTGGTAATTTAAAAAATCTATTAGATCTACATATCTAACCATTAAAACAGTCTATTTAGATGACAGTGTAAGTCTTTTGATCTCTTAACGCACTTGCATCATGTAGTAACTGACATTAAAGCGTCTACTTCAAAACGTAAGCCCATCTCGCGGTTTTAACGTGATTGTGATAGTTGCGCTAGAGAAGTCAGCTGCTCGGAGTTGTGGTAGATTCTCTCTTAGCGGACGCGTTTTATTGCACTCTAGAAGGTAAAACTCAATTCGTTCGGTCTTTTCATATCTTTTCACATTGGACTAGTCCACTTTGGAAGGCTGACTTTTACTAGTTCTTCTATGCTTATCAACAGTATACTACTTGAGGAAGTGAGAGGTAAGCAAAAGGTTGGCCCACGAATTACGGTGAACGCTAGCTGACTGTCATTTTATATGTAATTTACAGTCACGTGCATCCCAGTGTATATCAGGCGTTTGTACAAATAGCCGGATAGTACATATCAGCAACCAAAAATAAAAGTGATAACGCATAAAAACTCGCGCGCTATCCTGATATAGGTGACACTCAAGATTACGCAATAATCAAGCTATGAAGGTGTCAGGTCGCTCAAAGTGGACCGGTCCAGTATAGTGTACCGCTCTGTGTGGAAAGTTGCCTCAATTTTCCGCCTTACCGCAGGTGTTATGATCATTACATTATTTTGAATGAAATTAATCAACTGAAGAAAATAATTATGTTCTTTCGTTAACACTTTATTTTTTCACTAACAATCGCCTACCAACTTTCTTTTGAGTAATGACCAAAGGAGGTAAATTTTATATTAAATGTGTTATCCTCTTTTCATTCTCCATCTTTAGGAGGCCAATATATCTATAATTGCTTAAAATTTTTTTTCAGAGAAGTGATAATCCATATCTTGTCCAAATGGCCCCAATTTCCCATTATTTATACTTATAAAAGAGGTATAATTCATGTACTCCAACAATAAAGACGAAAAAAAGTTTCATATGTGCTCTACTGAGTATTAATTCCTATTTCATTCAGGTTTTCAATACGTAGTAGTGTTCCAACGCTGGGCAGCAGTATTGTCTATGCATGACAGATTTCCCTCTTCTTGCTATTAATAGTATATTGTACCAGTTAAACTGTTTGTATTCATGTCAGAGGTCATCAGCTGAGACAGATAAAAGAAGACGTAGCTTGCTGAATGGACGACAGATCAGCTGAGGCCAGCTTGATGGTGGTTGAATCTGCCGGAATATCACCTTAAGTTTGATGATTTTGAGTGAGATGTTAACAGTACTCGGACTTTATTAGACAATCTGGGACATTGGCTGTTACAGGTGAGTTGTCTCCATTTGTTATAATACAGGTGTCACAGGTGAGTTGTCTCTACTTGCTATGATCCAGGTTTTATTGGTGGGTACAGTTTGTGTGCAGAATTAACATTGATTGTGTGTGTGTGTGTGTGTGTGTGTGTGTGTGTGTGTGTGTGTGTGTGTGTGTGAGGGGGGAGGAGTGAACACGTACTGACTTATAAATGTGAAGTAATTGTTTGAACTAACTAAAAAAAATTTAATGTAAATGATTACCACACTGATAAACAATGACAAATTACTTTAAAATTGACTTTACTACTGCACAAAGGTATTGCTGGATATTTTAAGTTGTACATGAAATGCTGTACATATGAATGCCTAAAGATGAAGGATTGCTTTAAATAATTGATAGTATATTTAAGTTTTATATTTATTATTAGTATAGAGAAATTTTTCTATTTGATTGTGTTATAGTTTTTTTTTTTTCCATTAGATCACTACTAAAACTTGGTGAGAAATTAAAATTCTAATCTCATTGGTACTTATACTGAAACTATTCATCAAAATCTCTGTAAGAGTTGCCTGCATTGACTTCTGCTAAAAAAAAAAAGTGGTCCCACAGTGCACTTCTAGATAAAAAAAATTAATTTCCAAAAAAAAATTATTTTTTAAAAACATCATGTGGAATACAAACCCCAAGTTTTTACAGACCCTGGATGCTATGAATGGCAGATCTAGAGTAAGATGAAAATCTTCAAATTTGATAGAGTGTGCAGGTTTCTGTTTGAACAAGTCAACCATTTCATTGTGTACTGATTATCTCGATGTCTTCTGTCTAGACTACGCGCCTGATCTTTATTTTGGACATTATGAGTTTGTCAACAATCCGAAGGTAATCCAGCTGTCAAATAATGCCATTTTTCATAATGGCGCACTTCAGATGACAGTTTGATAAAGATAGGCGGGATATTTTTGTAAAAAAATTGGCAGTATATCATTGCCCTGGTGTCATTGTATGTCAAGTGTTGAGTTGAAACATTGTAAAATGCATGTTAAAAGGTGGAGAGAGAGAGAGAGGGAGAGAGAACAGAGAGAGAGAGAGAGAGAGAGAGAGAGAGAGAGAGAGGGGGGAGGGGGGGGGGGTAGAGGAAGCCCGTGGGAAAAGTCACCTGTTATTGTACTTGTATTATTATAAAACCCAAAGTTTAAAAAATCATCAAAAAAATAAGAACTGCCAGTACATGTAGCTTGGACCTAAACCCCAAACTAATCCACAATACTGTGTAAAGGCAAGGATATATATATATTCAAGTTACATACAAACATTCTTAATGCAAACCAGCTTGATACTTAACTTAAAGAGATTCCACAGTGTGAAATAGAATAGCTAGTGGTCAGTATAATTTGTCAGGTAATATAGCCTTTGTGGAATGTTGACTACTTTTGCTGACAAGTGGTATTTTGGGTAACAAGCCCTGCAAGAGGGAGGTACAGTGACAGAGAAGAGCACCAAGTAGCAGATCTTTAGAACATTTCAAGAAAATTCAGTCTTTAGTCTCCATTGTTTGGGTGACTTTATTACCTCAGCCAAGATGTTTTGGCCTTTGTTGGTTTGCAGTAACAGACTTACTCTTAAAGTAGGGAAAATTTAGATAAAACTTAGAGGATGTATCAGAAATGAGCTCACTGAGAATCACATAGATTTTAGTGATGTTTTTTTAAATTTAAAAATGAGAAGTTCACTACCTTGGCAGTCTGCATTCTCGGAGTGTCCTTCTAGTTTCAAATATCAGATTTTATGGACAGAGGGAACTTTTACATAATGAAGCAGCTAGTGGTGGAGGGTTTGGTTTTACATTTTAGATGGCTGCATTTCAGGATGAAAGGGATATACACAAAAGGCCCTCGTCTTAGGTTTTCTTCTCTTTCCTTATTTGCACCCCCTCTCCCCCCCCCCCCCCACACATGTACACACACGTGTTGATTCAACAGCCCTAGCTTCCCTTATTTTACTTCCCACCCACTAATGCAATGTTTTTTTTACTTAAGCAAATATTGATGTTATTTTTGTCACCAAACCCTCCCCCCCCCCCATCCTTCATTTTACTAGGGTTACAAATTTTTAACTTAATGAAATGCATCTTTATTGCTGTATATAATGTGAAAAATATTCTTTGCAAAATATTGTAGAAGCTAGTTATTGTCACTAGACATGATTTATATATTTACGTAATAATGTTTGGTCATTTTCATTGTAAATTATAAGAAATATTATTATAATTATTATTAAAAGACTGATGACTGATAAGATAAAAGTTGCCCCACATAAACAGACCGAAGTGGCACAAAGTTCCCAGTGGATTAAATTAATAACAGGATATCAGGAGATGTGTGGGTTGATCTGTTTCTTTATATACTGCAATATTTACACAATATGTACTATAATCAAAGCAAGCCGTGATATTGATAACTGTAGATAAGTGGAGGTAACACGTCTGGTGCAGGTAAGGCCAGAGAGGGGGGAGACTGATATGATGCTTTCAAGGTACACAGCTCGGGGTTTGGGCAGTGATTTCATAAAATCTGTTTAGTGTTGGGAAGTTAAGTTTTCTTTTTAAAAAATACAATCATTAATTAAACTTGATGAATTATATTGACTTGTTTTATTCAGATGTTGGACCCATTATACATGGGTAATGGGTCCAAGTTTTATATGAGTTAATGATTAAGGATTACATTTTCAGATACTATTTTATTTACCTAGGCAGCATATTGAGGTTATTTGTTTATTCTCTGTAA